TTTTTGAGATGGAGTGCAGTGGCGCCATCTTGGCTCCCTGCAACCTCTGCCTCCCAGGTTCACGTGATTCTCCTGCCTCAGCCTCCTGAGTACTGGGACTGCAAGAGCACGTCAGCACGTCCAGCTAATTTTTGTATTTTTAGTAGAGACGGGTCTCACCATGTTGGCCAGGACGTCCTTGAGCTCTTCGTCTCATGATCCACCCGCCTCGGCCTCCCAAAGTGCTGGGATTACAGGTGTGAGCCACCGCGCCCGGCCTGCAGTTATCTTTTCTGTCCCAGCAATACCAGATTATTGTAGACCTTGTGTGTGTGTTTTTAAATCGTGTATATAATTCTGCTTCTTGACTATATAAGTCAACAATTATCTATTGAGTTCTTAATTGAAGCTGGAAATATTTTGAAACCTAAGATCTAATTCCTGGCTGGGCGTGGTGGCTCATGCCTGTAATCCCAGCATTTTGGGAGTCTAAGGCAGGCAGATCACCTGAGGTCGTGAGTTTGAGATCAGCCTGGCCAACATGGTGAAATCCCATCTTTACTAAAAATACAAAAATTAGCTGGGCATGGTGGTGCATGTCTGTGATCTCAGCTGCTCGGGAGGCTGAGGCACAAGAATCGCTTGAACCCAGGAGGCAGAGGTTGCAGTGAGCTGAGATCACACCACTGCACTCCAGCCTGGGTGACAGAGCGAAACTCCGTCTCAAAAAAGAATAAAGATCTGATTCCTGCCTGTTTTATCCAGTTAGGGAGACACACTACACCTGAAATAACTGGAGAGCATGTAAATGTTTACTTTTCTGGGATTGCACTATAATGAGTTAAAGTTTAGAAAAGGGAAGGAATAGTGTATGTTTTAGTTAGCAAAGTCTTAAGACTCAAAAGTAGCAAGCACTGTAGCTCAGATTTCTTTTTGACCCACCACCTGCTTCTTCAGCTCCACCTTCTGTAACTTCTAGATTTACGGCATGAAGTTCTGTCAGTAAGGCATAGCCAGTACCCAAGTGGGAAGGAATTCCTGATCTCCCAGAGTAAAGATTCCTTGCTAGCAGGGATCTCACTTACACACTTAGGAAAATACCAGAGGGTGCCACTAGCAACTGGGAAATGAAGGCAGTATTTAATTTCACTCCACCCAGGTACCAATTAAATGCATAGCGTCGTCTGTCCTGCATGCAGAAAGGGTGCTAGTGGCGGCAGTGCGCTTGGGTAACAGCTCTGCTAATTGTCACCTTCACACTTCTCTCTTCTTAATCTCGGGTTTCTCATCTGAAAAATGAGAGAATTGGACTAGATTAATAGTTCTCAGCCTTTTCTAGACACCGAATTAGATGATCTCTGAAGTCCCTTTCACTCACGTCTTACGCTTCCGCTCTCTCCCCTTTATTGCATATTATCCCTAGGCTGATTAAAATATGCTGGTTAATCAGTTTCTTTTCTTTTTTATTTTTCTATGTTCAGGTATCATTTGACCAATGCTCGTAATTTTACTGTGATGACTGAAGTCTCCCAAAAGGAGAGTATAATAGTTACAGGTCTAGTAATAATTTAAATAATTCCGTATTTTTGAAAACTTAACGCTGTCTGCCTGATCAGTGTTAAGTGTGTAACTAAAATGTAAGTGAGAACCAAATATGTCACTAACACTGGCATTACATTTTATTTTTACTTGTATACTTACTTAAAGTACTTTACTGGCCTGCTGGGAAATTGATTTGCATAAGTTGTAAGATTCACACGTTTTGGTAGAAACAACTTTTTCAAGATACAATTAGGCTGACTTTTTAAAATGTTTCTTATCCTGTAGAGTGTATCATTATGATGTCATTCTTACCCTGTCTCTACCTTTTTGACCATCATTTAACTACTCAGTAAATCATGGGGTGCAGGCTGATGAACTGGTCGTCTTGGTAGGCCTCAAAAGTAATGAGCGTAGGAAGAACCACTTTTCCTGGTGAACACGGCAGTTTTCCAGTAACACAAGCCTTGATGAAGGCTAAGGCAGCTGCTGTACTGTGGACACTCCGCTGCACTGGGTGGCCTCGCTTAGCATTTCACCAAGCTTGCCATGAAACATGGTGTTGCACGGTACACATCTTGGAGCAGTAGCAAGAATGTTCTTTAGAACTGCAAAATCCAACAGGGAAAACCATATGCATATATTGGTTTCTTCTGTTACGTAGAGATTTGGTATTTCAGTGATGGTTATTTTGGTTTTTGACTCACCTATGTGTCCTGCTAGAGAGACAGTTTAGAATCAAGAATTTCTTGACGTCTTTAAAAATAGAGATTACAGTGGCCTTGTATTTTTCCTGTGAAGTGAATTTACATGGCGGTATTATTGGATATGACGGTGAGACCCTTAATTAGAAAATCTTTTAATCCTGCTTTCTGTTTTACTTCTCCATTTAACATTCATTATCTTAAAATAGTTACGATTTTTAATGTAATTGGCTGTGTTTAAGAAATTCCATTTCGAAGTCTTAATATGTAACAAT